ACCATGAACACTTCCAGAGATATGCAGTATGAATATTCGGTTTGTATGGGAGGTGCCGGCCGCTGTGGTGTAGTGCTAAGCAGTGCGCGCTTCCACTCCGCAACGCCCTGGTCAAAGCAACATCGCAAAAATATAGAAAAAAGGTTTTTTCTTAACAGCGGTCGTCCCTCGGCATGCAATGGCAGACCTCCGAGTGTATTACTGCCATGAAATATAGCTTCTTATAAAAATATAATCGCCGTTCGGAGTCGGCGTAAAACTGTAGGTCCCTCCGCTTTGTGTGACAACATCAAGGAGCACGCCACAAATCAGAGGAGAAGCTCGGCCAAACACTAACATATGTGTAAGCGCCAATCTATTATTATTACTAAAAATATTTTTTATGATCCGATTTGGCGAATATTCAAAACATGTAATGAAAACGGTAAAGGCGGTTGCGTGAACGCACCTTATAATTCAAAATTTATTTATCTAAATCACTCACTCTGGGAGCAACATCCACGAACGAGAAGCAAATTGGATCATGCGATAGCGTGCTCATAGTGGAGCAATGACGTTCTCTTACGCCCGCGATATATATATATGTACATATGTGTACATACACGAATACCTGTTCGAGCTAAAGAGTTTTTGTCAGTCGCCGTTCTACAGTCGTCATCTCCACTACAAAAATTAATTTCCTGGCAGTTTTATTTGTTCATTAAACTAGCATAATTTATAAGTTCCAACTACAATAAAACAATATCAGTTTATTTGTTGTAAAGACTAAATATCGTTGTTAATAAATTCATATTAATTAAAAATAAAACTAACTACAGTTGTCGGCTTCACCCTTTGTACACTGCGAATCTACGCACAAACAGTTGGTGCCCCGGGTGAGGCCAATCTGCAAAATTAGCATTAACAACGATAACACAATTGACATTTTAGCAAATGTTTAATGGATAACATTCTCATCAAACTGTGTCACTGTGAACAATTTGGAGCATCAAATCGAATAGATAACTGTGCAAATACACCGGCTCATCATTAGTTTTTCTTCTGTCGCGGTCATATCGTTCACCACAAAGCAAATCGATCCCGTTGTTGCTGCTTTCACATTGGATTCCACTGCTCTGTCTCGCAAATTTCGACCAACAAATTATCATCGTTGGCTCGTTTACCGTAATCGCAGTAGGCAGCACATAAAGAACAATTGGCGCTGCAATATCATCGAAGAACATCGCAGATTGACTTTCAAGTGACCTCTGCTTTGGACACAAAATCAACACCACAATTACTCGCATCAGAGCGAACGTTTAAGAAAACGAGGTGAGTGTGTACTTATTGTTGTCTTGAGTGCTTGGTTTACAGCAAAATGAATTCCGAAACTTCACCGTTGGACATCTATACATTGCAATTGGATTTATATCGTCAAGTCAACACGGCGCTAAAAAACTTCAAAAAGTACCCTGAAGCGCGAAAAACTATTACATACTTTGAAACCAGAATCAAAACATTGACGCATTGCTACCACAAATTTGAGAAAAATCACGCTCAACTACTTCGGTCGGAACTCGAGACCGATCACTCCTACTATACTGAGGAATTCGCTACTAATTTCGAGGAATTGTATTTATCGGCTCGAAGTGAAATCGTTAAGCATTCAAAATCAAATATCCAACGACATTATTATCTATGGCAGACCCAAGCGCAGCGAATAATCGAACGCTGGCAAGAAACGAAACAATTGCACCGGCTGTTCGATTACCGAAATTAACAGTGCCAAGCTTTAGTGGTAGCTACACCGACTGGCCTGCCTTTTATGATGCTTATCTCCGTCTAATTCATAATAACATTCAAATTTCTAGTATCGAGAATGGCAAACGTTGGTAGGTCGTTACAATAATTCTAGAGTTTTGTTTACTCATTGTATGCATTTGTTTTTTTTCTCAACCGAATGTGGCCAAGGAGAATTCATCAAGGTTGAAAAACTTAATCGACACATCACGTTCGTGCCTCAGTGCATTACGCAATTTAGGTATCAAGGTTGACGAATGCGATCAAGTTTTTGTACATTTTCTTATAAGTAAACTACCTCGTGAAACACATCAATTCTGGGAACAAGAGTTGGGAAATTCAAAGGATATTCCAACATTTAAACAATTTTGTGACTTCATAGAAGTTCGTTATCGTACGCTCGAGGCAATTGAATTAAAATCGAGCTATAGTGACTCAAAAGCGGCTTTATCTGTCCACCAAAGGTCGAGTTCAAAATCATAATCAAACCCTAAACCTAATTTTCGTCGTGAGACAAGGGTGAACTATACTACAAGTTCGATCGACAGTAAACACATTAGTTGTACCGCGTGTAAAGAAGCGCACATCATTCGACGTTGTCCGAAATTTCTAGTAATGGATTGTTTCGAGCGCAAAACTATCGTTGATAACAACAAGCTTTGCGTCAATTGTCTTAGTTCTACACATTTGGTTTCTACATGCCCAAGTAATCGGAACTGGCAACAATGTGGTAAACGACACCACACATTATTGCATTTTCCTCCACCCATAAACAATTCATCATCATCTGCCCGCGGAGCGGCGACATCGTCTACGTCCGCATCAACTAATCGTACCATCAGTGCTAATCACATTCGCTCGGAAATTGTCCCATTACTGTCGAACGTAACCAAGTTCACTTCGAAAACCAATGTACTTTTATCCACAGCGGTAGTCAAAGTTAAGTGTGCTGACAGCTCGGTCATTTTATTGCGTACCTTCATCGATCAAGGCTCCGCCGGAGCTTTAGTTAGCGAGCGTGCTGTCCAAACACTTAAGTTGAGACGCTGGCCTATCAGAACTGATATCAAACTAACAAATGGTCAACGCACATTGGGAAAATCGTTAAAAATGTTAACGAAGATTTACCAGTAAAAATTATCTCATATCATGATTGGCCTCACTTACGTGATCTCGAATTGGCTGACCCCGAATTTTATCGATCAACACCTATCGATATACTTATCGGTTCGAAAGGGTCAAAGCGATGAACCCATTATACAACAAACAGCTTTCGGCTGGATTGTATCGGGTAAAGCAATATCAATTTCAAACCCGGAAAAATCAGACATCATAACAAATTGTTCTTACATTTCGTTGAAAAATTTGGATGCGTTTGTTAAGCAGTTTTACGCTCTTGAAAGTATTCCAATGGAGGAACAATACACACCTGAGGAGATATGGTGTCAAAACTACTACCAAAAAACTACAGTTCGTAATCGTTAATCGTTTTTATTCACTTGAGCGTAAATTCAACAACAATCCCAACATCCGAGATCAATACAATGCAACAATTAAAGAGTATTTCGATCTCAATCAAATAAGGCATGTCACAACTACCGAAGAACAACATTTGCAGTTCCACAACAATCAACCATCGTATTCATGTTGCACATTGCCTCATCATGCCGTGATTAAGGAAGATAGCCTGACAACAAAGTGTCGCGTTGTTTATGATGCTTCAGCCAAATCTTCCAATGGTAAATCATTAAATAACATTCTTTGCACTGGTCCACGACTCCTAAACGATTTGCCAGCAGTTTTATTGAACTGGCGTCTACATGTTTACGTCGTCACTGCGGACATCGAAAAAATGTTCCGTTGTACCGATATGCATGAAGAAGATTCTGAATACCAACGAATTATTTGGCGCAACCCAGATGGTCAAATTACAGAATATAAACTTACAACGGTAACATTCGGCACCGCGTCAGCACCATACTTGGCAAACGAAACTATACATCGAATAGCGCGCGATGAACGTCAGCGTTATCCGTTGGCCGAACCAGTGTTAATGAGAGAGATATACGTCGATGATGTTTACGCAGGAAGTGAAACTGTGGAAAAAACTATTGAAATTCGGAATCAAACACAAGCAGCCTTTGCTTCAGCCGGCATGAAACTTCACAAGTGGGCTAGCAATTCGGCGAAATTACTCAAATTAATTCCCCCAGACCAACATTGTAGTGCGACTGCTCTCGAGTTAAACAGTGATGAAACAATGAAAACATTAGGCATGCGTTGGCAGCCAAATAGCGACAGTTTTCGTTATAAGCTCAATTTTGATATCAATGTCAACCATAAATCCGTTACAAAGCGTACCGTGCTTTCGGCAATATCGAGACTATTTGATCCTTTAGGCTTGATTAATCCCGTTATCGTCACTGTGAAGATATTTCTGAAACATTTGTGGTCGTTCAACTTAGATTTGGACGAACCTCTTGCAGAGGGCTTGCTCAATGAATGGAAACAAATTAAATTCGATCTACAAGTTATTAAGAAAATTCAAATTCCGCGCTGGTTGAAATAGTTACCTTCCACAATCGAATTCGTCGAAATTCATGCATTCAGTGATGGTTCCACACAAGCTTACGCATCCGACATATATCTTCGCGTTAAAGATGAACAGGATAATTATCATACTAACATTATCACAGGCAAAAGTAAGGTAACACCAAAACCACCAATATGCATTCCTCGTATCGAACTCTGTGCAGCAGTGTTAAGCATCACACTGGTCAAATGGGTACTAAAACACATAAATATCCCCGCAAACCAAATAAAGGTCTATTATTGGACGGATGCTACAATAGTTTTGTCCTGGATAAGAGGTGATATCAATCGCTGGCCTGTATTCGTCGCTAATCGTATTGGACTCATTCATACCGAATCACACTTCAAGCAATGGCATCACGTTTCGACACATGAAAACCCTGCCGATTACTCGTCAAGAGGCTTAACACCAGTTCAACTTATAGATTGCGATTTGTATTAGCATGGCCCGACTTGGTTGTGCAAATCTAAAGACAAATGGCCGGTTTCGGATTGGACCTTTTTAGAGGAAGAAGAAAACCTCGAACAATTAGTCAACGTTGCTATTGAAGCCAGTGAGGAGCTGCCTTTGTTCGATAGGTACTCGTCTTATACTCGTTTGGTACGCATCACTGCAATATTAAGGCGAGTTAAGCACAATCTTACAAATTCCCAAGAAAGTCGTCGATTAGGTTCACTAACAGCTGCCGAGTTACACGACAGTCTCATTTGTTTAGTTCGGATTATTCAGAAACAATGTTTTTACGCCGAG